ATCAGCTGACCAAACGGCATCTTGCTGCCCCAGGGCGTACTGGCTGGTTTTTCATCCACTTCTTTAATGTACGCAGAAAACACTCTGCATTTGAAATCACATGATCCTGCTGCCAGCAAAACATTGTTGGGATGCCAATCCAAGCTGAGGACAGTGGAACGAATTGGCTTTTTAATGTGCTTGCTTACCCACCAGTCATTTTCGGACTCGAAGTAACAAACGGAAATGAGTCGTGCTCCACTTCCCACAGCAAATTTATTCTCTAGTGGGGACCACTTGACAAAAGTGGCTGCACGATTAATTCTCAGGATTACCAGGGTTGGCTTCCAGACTCCATCTTTCTGACTCCAGACATAGGCATTGCGGTCTGCCCCACAAGTAACGATGCGGTCGCTCTTGGGAGCCCAGTCAATACCTGTGATGTGTCCGTTGTGCTCCTTGAGTTCATGAGCTTTTACCCACTGGCTCCCGTTCTTCTTATAGATGTGGACTTCGTGGTTATTAGGGCTAAGTGCAATCTGGGTACGATCCCTGTTCCAGGCATGACAGGTGATTGGCTCTAATAAAAATTGATGCAGGGAGATTATTCTTAGTGCTTTCAAAGGATAGAAAGTTGATTCTCCAGAAAGCCCTAAGAATCTTCTTATTGTAGATGAAGAAACAGGGACTCAGAGAAGCAATTTTGCTAGAGGCATCCAACGAAGTGAAGCAGCTGGGATTACGAGTTTCGGTAGTCCACTGGGGTCGGGGCAGTCCCGACGGGCTTGGAGCGGAGAATTCGCGGACTCTGGTCAGTCGACGCGAACAGGCTCCAACTGGCGCGGGAGTAGAACCAAAGCTCAGAGGGAGCGGCTGACAGATCCTTCTAACTGTTTATTTAAGTCTAAATAACAACAGTTGCTGGCAGCAACAACTCAACACATTGAGAAAATGCTCATGGGAACCGCAGTTCTGCAGCTCATTGTTTACATTAGACTAGAAAGACATAAGGAGGGTTACATTACATTCATTGGTGGAAGATTTGGAAGGTGGCAGAAAGCAGAGTGCGGAGATCTCTGGGACTGGATGAAAAGTTAGACAGAGAGACACATACTTTATTACATTGGTGGGTACAGATAGTTAACTATTAAGCACGTAGTGATGGTATGTGGGCAACAGGATAACAACGTGGTCTCGTGCTCTAGTGCTGAGAGTGGTGCCTTTAAGGGGGCTGGAAAAGAACACTCTGACATTTCAAAGGTATGTTATCTTAGATGCACAGAGACAATAGACAATTTCAACGTGAAAGGTTGACTTTGTCAAGGAAGCTATAGGCCTAGGATGTGCTACCCACTATGACCCACTTTTAGTGAGCATTTTTTATGTTTTAGTCACCTGTGTGGTTAGTTTGGTGTCTGGGTTTGTAATGCTTAAGAAGCTTGTCTGGTTGAGTATGTGGCCCCTTTTTCATCCACACCATACTGTTCTGATTCCTATAGGTTTGTAATACAGTTCAAAATCCAAGAGTGTGATGCCTGCAGCTTTGTTCTACTTTCTTAAGAGTGGTTTGGAGGACTTCCAGTAAGATGGCGGAAATAGGCTGGCACTGTGCCAACTGTCTTTGAGGATCACACCAAAATTACACACAATTTACACAGCATTGAAGCTTGGAGGTCCCCTGAACACTAGATGAACAGAATCTCTAAATGAAGGATTTAAAGACGAGGTCACGTGGAGACTGGTAGGAGGGGAGGAGATGTGAGGCAGTCTGACTCCAGGCCAACGGAGAGAGGGCGAATCTTGCGAGGAACACCTCAGTAGCAGAGAGGCTTCTCTTGTTGGGGGAGGGACCCTCTGGCCCCACACCGCCCTACCCATACCAGAGTTACTTTGCCTGGAAGGGGAATTCCACGATACCTGGCAGTAGAAACTAGTGAGAACTCTTTGCTCAACTCAGTGAGGTAGAGTGCAGCTAGAGGACCAAGTCGCCGTCCTATGGAGCTGGCACACAGACGCGCTCACTGGTGAGCACGCACCTGGTCCCTGGCAGAGGGAGTGGCTGCGTGAGTGGGGGCCCAGGAGCCTGTGGGGAAGGACTGAACTGAGAGCCTTTAGTGCTGGAGCTGGAGGTTTGGGGACCATTGTTGCCCTTGTTTGGAGCTGGCACACAAGTAGTGTACAGAAGTGCGCTGTTTTTTCAGGGTTGGGCCCTCCCACAGAGGCTCAGGTCTGGTACCGCATTGGTCTGGTGGAATTGGAACATGCTGCCTTGGGTTCCCCTTCTCCATGCTGCATGTGCACAGTTGCCAGGATGGCATCTGGCTATTGGGCTGCTCTGCCTGTTATGTGACCTGCTGATTGGGACAGGCAGACACTGGGAGTTTTCCTGGGAGTGTTGGGCTGGGAGCTGTGTGCCTGCGTGATCTGGCCTAGGCATTCATGGCGCTTTTGTGCAGGCTGCTTACTGGTACAGGAGTGCCCGCTGTTCTAACTTCATGGGGGCCACTGACCACACCCCATGGTGCCTTGGGGGCATGCCAAGGCCCACCTAGAACTGCATTGCTGGGCACACCCTGAACCCCTGGTGCCTGGCCCCCACCATCACAGGGCACAGAGGGTTTTGTAGCACTGAGCAGCCCTCAGCAAACTGTGAGGATTTTTGGTGGTGAGCACGGCCCCAGAGAACAGTGCCGCTAATTGCGGGAACCTCACTTCAAGCCTGAGAGAGACGCTGGCACTTATGCATTGGGCCCTTCCCCCCAACACTTGTGGTGCTCAGTCACCCAGAGACTCTCTATTGTTGAGCAAGTGGTTTGCAGATTAAAGCAGGTGAAGAGTTTTTTTTCCTCTTTTTTCTCTTTCCTTTTGCCCCTTTCCCCCCCTTTTTTATTATTCTGTTTTCTTTGTCTTTCATGTTTGTGTTCCTTTTTCTTCTTTTCTTTCATCTGTTTTCTTTTTGTTGCTGTTTCTCAGGCTTGTTTACCTGGCTATTGCTTTGGTTACTGTTTTTCTGTCTTGTTCTTCTGTTTTTGTATTTGTATTTTTGTCTCTTTCATATTTTTTGTCTTTTTTTGTCTGATCATTGTTTATCGTGTTTTGTGGGGGTGTATTTGTTTTTGGGTGTTGTTGGGCTGCCTTGCTCTGTTTTGTTTTATGAAGTGGATGTGGTTTACTAGTTCAGGAGCTGAGACTACACTGACTTTGTAGAAACCTGTGACCACAGCCTTTACGCACCTGTAACACCACCTTGTCCACCTACAGCAGCATTGCCAGGGGCAATCGGGGTGCTGGGGTAACTGGACCCACCCCAACAAACTCTGGAATATGTTTTTTACAACAGAATGTGGTCCTCAGAGGCCTGGGTTTACCTTGGTGGTGATCAGTGACCACAAACCTGCACCACAGCCACTTGGGAGCAGCTTTCATGAATTTGTGAGCATGAGGTGGAGGCTGGCTACAGTGCCCTTGGGACACTATACAAGGGTGTTACAGGCCAGATATTAGCATAAGGCCTGAATCTGCGTTAACGTCTTAAAAACCACCAATCACGTCTCGTAACTCACTTGAACTCCATCCCACCCAGGTAGTGCCACATTGCCAAGGGCACCTGCAACAGTGGGTCAAATAGCCAGACACATGCTCTTTTCAATAGTTGGTCCTTACTCGCATCTGTCAGGTAGCAACAGGCTTAGGCTGCCCTAGGCCTTTTGCTAAACTCCCTCAGAACTAAAGTTGGTGGCAGGCAGCCTCAGGTCACACAGAGACCATCCCCACATGACCCCAGGTCCAGCACAGGAAGCAGGCAACCAAATACAGCCTTGAGGCACCTGCCACATAGCTACGAACCGGTAACAGACAGGGCTGTAACACCTCAGAGAGGGAGCCCCACCCAAGAGACACCAGAACCAATACACCCAGAGGCCAGTGTTAGACAAAACGAGAGTACTACCTGGTTGAACCTACAAGTGGCACTTTGAAAGGAAATTTTCCACAGGCACAAGAGTCCACAATGGCCAAGATCCTCTGAGGCGGTCAACCTCCACTCTGCCTCTCAAACACTGTGAACAGAGCTAATTCTCCCAGGTAATCAGCCTGAGGGGCAATCCCACCCTCTGACAAGCCAAAAGTTATTAAAACCAACTTTAACAGTGACACCTCTGGAACATATGGAAGGAAGAATAGGGAGACTATGCAATCCGAATATAAAGGACACATAAAACCACCCAGCAATGACTGAGAGACATAGCTGATCTACCTAATATATCAAAGCAATCACAGAACAGCAGGCAGAATGAAGAAATGAAGAAACATGTCCAAAATACAAGATCAGAAGTAACCTCCAGAAATGGAACTAAAAGAGATTATCCAACCTTCCAGAGACAGAGTTTAGAACTAATGATAAGAATGTTTAAGGAACTTACTGAGGACATCAAGAAGGATTAAGANTGATAAGAATGTTTAAGGAACTTACTGAGGACATCAAGAAGGATTAAGAAATCATAAAAACACCCAGTTGGAACTGAAGAATACAATAACTTAAATGAAAAACACACTCGAAGGAATCACCAGTAGATTAGATGAAGCAGAGGATCGGATCAGCAATTTGGAAGACAAAAATAGCAGAAATCACCCAGTCAAAACAACAACAACAACAACAATAAAAAATAAAAACAATGGAAATAGTTTAAGAGACCTCTGAGACAACATCAAGTGCAACAAAATTAACATCATAGGAATACCAGAAGGAGAAGAGAAGAGGCAAGGGATAGAGAATGTATTTGAAGAAATAATGACTGAAAACTTCCCTACCCTGGTGAAGGAAATCGACATACAAGCCCAGGAAGTGCAGAGAGTTCCAAACAAGCTGAACCCAAACAGGCCCACACCAAGACACATCATAGTAAAAGTGGCAAAGGTTAAAGACAAAGACAATCCTAAAAGCAACAAGAGAAATACAGCAGGTTACATACAAAGGAACTCCTGTGAGACTAACAGCTGACTTTTCTACAGAAACGGGCCAGAAGGGAGTGGTAGGAGGTATTCAAAGTGATGAAAATCAAAGGCCTACAAGGAAGGTTGCTCTACCCATCAAGGCTATCACTTAAAATTTAAGGAGAGATAAGGAACTTCTCAGAAAATAATATTAAAGAAATTTATTACCAGAAAACCAGCACTGCAGGAAATGTTAAAAAGGCTTTTTTAAACAGCAGAAAAAGGAAAACAAACTAACCAAGGAAGACTAGAAATACGAATAACAAAATGGCCATAAATATGTACCTATCAATACTCACTTTAAATGTGAATGGACTCAGTGCTTGAATCAAAAGTCATAGAGTGGCTGAGTGGATAAAAAAACAGGATCCATGCATATACTGTTTACAGGAGACTCATCTCAGATCAAAAGCCACACAGAGACTGAAAGTAAAGGGATGGAATAAGATATTTTATGTAAATGAAAATAAGAAAAAGCTGGAGTAGCAATACTTATTTTGGACAAAATAGACGTTAAAATGAAGGCTACAATAAAAGATTAAGAAGAGCACGATAGGGCCGGCCGAGTGGCGCGATGGTTAAGAACTC